GTTGGCCATGCCCTCTGGATTCTCGGTGGAGGCCCCTTGGCCCTGGGCTTCAGCTCCACCTTCCAGGCCCTCTGGGATGGCAACTCTCATCCCTCAGCTTTAGGCAGCCCCATTCTCCTAGTCCATCTGAGTAGCAATTGCACCCCGTTAGCCCTGTCAGTCCCCTTTCTTCTGCCCTTTTGGCATGGCAGCCCCACGTTCTCAGCTGTGGGCAGCAGTCCCATCTCCCTGGCACACCTTAACCGCAGCTCTACACGCCTTGAACCTAGTTGGCAAAGATCCAACTCTTTGAAACCTAGGAGGCTATAGCCCCACCCTTTGAGATCCAAGACCATGGCGCCACCTTTTGAAACCAAGAAGGCCCTGCTTCTTGTGCTCCTTCCAACAGCTCTGCTGATCCTTGAGCTGCTCCAGGGATGGTCTTTTTCTTTTCTTGGAGGACAACAAATGTAGCTTCTTTGGCCTCTTTCCTGCCTGTAGAATTCCAAGAGGAATTCCTTTCATTCTTTCTCTGTCCCCTTCAGTCTAAGCTGATGGGTTTTCTGCTCTGGTAGTTGGTTAAATCCATCAGTCACAGGCTTAATCTCTTTAACAAAAGATTGTGTAGCCATATCCTTAGTGAACATTCTAGAACCCATGTCCTTAGCAGAGTTTTCCAAATCTTTAAGTTCTGTTTTCATTTTGCACAGTTCATTTTTAAGTCCATCTCTTACCTCTCGCATTTTACTGTAAGCAGCAAGGAAAAACCATGCGGCCCTTTAAGATCTTGCTTAGAAATCTTATCAGCCAGATATCCAAGTTCATCACTTAAAAGTTCTACCTTCCCACCAAACATTTGAATATAATTCAGACAAGTTCTTTGCCACTGCATAAAAAGCACCACCATTCCGCCATTGTCCCATCACATGTTTATCATTTTCTTTTAAAGTCATCAGAAGCACATTTAACTCCACATTTCTAGCAACATTCTGTTGCGGGCACCATATGTATTCTCTAAGACAATAGAGACTTCGGGTATCCTCTCACTTCCTTCTGAGCCCTCACCAGAATTGCCTTTGACATCTGTAATTCTACCAACAGTCTATTTAAGGCAATCTAGGCTTTTACCGTTAGGCACCTTAAAATTCTTCCAGCCTCTCCACATTACCCAATTCCAAAACCACTTCCACATTTTAGGTATCTGTTAGAGCAGCACCCCACTCTTCCAGTAACAAGTTCTTAGTTTAGTGCTGCTGTAACAGAAATACCACAAGTGGATGGCTTTAACAAACAAATTTATTTTCTTACAGTTTAGGAGGCTAGAAGTCTGAATTCAGGGCACCTGCTCTAGGGGAAGACTTCCTTTCTCTGCTGGCTTTGGAGGAAAGTCCTTGTCTCTTTTGAGCTTCTCCTCCTGGGCAGTCTTCATGTGACTTGGCATCTCTCTTAGCCCATCTCTGCTCTGCTTGCTTTTATAATCTCTTTTATATCTCAAAAGAGATTGACTTAAAATATACCTTACACTAATCCTGCCTCGTTAACACTAGAAAGACAACCCACTCCTAAATGGGATTATAACCACAGGCATAGAGGTTAGGATTCACAACACGTATTTTGGGGGGACATAATTCAATCCATACAATGGCCATGTCTCTGACCAAAACTCAGGGATTCTATTTACCAAGGAAGAAGGGCTGAGTGAGATCAGAGTGCGATTAGCAGTGTCTGCCACAGCTCTCATCTCCTCCCGCCGCCAAGACACAGGCGTGTGGAGCGCACAGATTGGGGCTCAGAGCTGCCAGCAGCAGAGCTAACTAACATGGTACAGCTGGTGGGCGTGGTACAGCTGGTGGGCCGGATGATGTTTACATGTGTGTCATTTACATATGCAAATGAAGCAATCTGCTCAGAGGTCTCAGCTCGAGGGAGCTGGTCCTCATCTCTAGGGAGCTGGTCCTCATCTCTAGGGAGCTGGTCCTCATCTCTAGGAAGCAACTGTCCTGGTGAAGAGAGATCCCAGGGATGGCAGTGGAGGACAGCAATGCTATTTCCTACGCCACAGTGTAAACCAAACCCAGCACGTGGCCTTGGTCTGGCCCGAGGCCTGGACAGTCATTCAGCCAGTGCATGAGAAGGAGAAACCTGGTTAGTCTCTTCCCCAACAGCCATGCCCCTCGTGGGGCCAAAAGAGCAGCGGTCAGCAGCGCAGCCCGATTCCAAACCTCAGCTGCTCTTCTACCAGCACTGACATTTCTGCCACGTTTTGCTTTCAGTCAACTCTTGTTTTTAAAAATCACCTTAAATTGATTTTAAAAAGCAATCTCCTCTCACTGCTGTAAATGGAGAAGCAGTACAGCTTGCCCTAAATAGAAAGTAACTGAAAACCTAGGTAAGATTCTGCGCCAAAGGCTCAGAGCCTGACGCCTGCTTTCTCATTAGAGAGCATTAAACTGAGGCTTCCTCGTTGAGGCCTTGAAATGGATCCAAAGAATCAAAGGTGGGATTAATCTTTCCATGTCATTGGGCATAATTTAATGCCTATCATTCACCCCTGCCAAGCCCCTCTCCTAGAGTAAAGAGCCCCACTCACCGGAAACATGGCGGGACTGTGTGCCTGCTTCCTCAGCTGCAAAAGGGGGATCCTGACAGCACCCGCCGTATGTTGTTGGGTGCCGTCAAGCTGATTCTGACCTATGGTGACCCCACGTGGCAGAGGACAACTGCCCCGTAGGGCTTTCTTGCCTGTAATCTTCATGGGAGCAGATGGCCAGGTCTTCCTCCCTTGGAGCTGCTGTGTGGGTTTGAACTGCCAGCCTTTCGGTTAGCAGCCAAGCACTTAACTGTTCTGTCATCAGGGCTCCTTACCTGCTTTATAGGATGACTGAATCAGCTACATAAAATCAGGCATATACAAAGTCTCAGCAGGTACAGTGCCTGGCACAGTATCAGCCTTCAAATGCTGGCTATTATTATTTGTCAGTTTCACGGAGTAGAAAATTGGAGTCCTGTGATTAAAGAACTAAATGAGGCTTGAGAGAAAATAACCAAAAAGCCTGGCAATCCAAACTTCAAAGAAGCGGGGAGGGAGACATAAAACCCCAAACACTGCATTTAACAATGGAAGACGCTTTATTATTTTGTAATCATCTCTCAACATTTCAACTGTTGGTAGAAATCAAATGCAAAACAGCTGCATTTTAAAGTTAGCATATATTTAACTATCTCAATCACAGCAATCTCGTACAATAAGACATACACCAAGACGGAACAGGGTCGTCGCATTTCCTATTCCGGTCCACGAACACAGTATTTCTGCGATGGTATGTACAGCGGACTTTTTCTCCCAGCCCGAGTTCTTATTCCTACATTTGTTCACTGGGTCAGTTACGTGGCATCACGGTTGGTTGGGAGAGTGTGGTGCCGCAGGAACAAACTGGAGAAATGGAATACTAGAAAACTAGAGCTCTCAGGAGCAGGACAGGCATCGACACTTCTGAAATGTGAAAAGGCAGAACATCGAGGATGAATGCCCCAGGATGGGCTGGTCTTCATAATAAAGTTGGTTGAAATTCGGCTTTATATACACATTGTATATCTACATGTAATCTACCAGATATATAAAAAAGAGCCATGTAAGATTTGAAAAACCTTAAAATCACTCAGCTGAGTTGGGAGAACATCAGCAAATTAACAGTGGCCTCGGGATTCAACCATATTTAAATTTGCTCAAGAGCCGAATACCTCATTCTACTGGAAAACCCTCTGCCATGGAAGTGCCCGTGACATTCTGTACATGACACTTATGGCTAAAAGATATTATTTTCTTACTTCGCAAGGAAACTCTTCTCTTTTTAAACTCTGCCCTGTACCCCCAGAAGGAAAACCCAGGAGTCAGTGATTGATGCAAGGAGTTGGGGAGCTATCTGGTTTGGAAGCATTTAGGCTCAGCTGAGTGTCTGTCTAATGGGCACACGCTGACTTCTGCCCACTTTTAGTGCAAAAAGATCACAAAGGTTGCTGCAGATGAGTCCTGGAAACAGGTGAGGAGGAGTGAGATGGAGGGGTGGAGGGAATCCCAAATGACTTTCCTTCTGAAACAAGACTCAAGGAGTTTGGAGTGCGAGGTTCACGCTCAGCAAGTGCCAGTGGCCAGGGCTGTAGATCCGATGGTGAGGCCCCTGACGCGTCACTAGTCAGCAGGCGTACAGCCTCACCTCTACGCCCACATGCACCCCAAATGCATGCTGGAGGTAGCTGTATAGATAGTTATTGTAGGGAAGACAGAGTGGCCTCCACCAACTCAAGAAAAAGGGACATTGTCTCAGGTCCTCCTCTGCCCCCAAACTCTTTACTCGACCCTCAGGCTGTGGTGAGAGGAGGCTACGACACAAAAGGACGTGAGACCCTCCCTCGGAAGACAGAACCACCCAGGGTGTCTTTATAAATAGCTACATAATTAATTTTCTTAACCACTTTGAAACACACGGCAAGTTGAATATTTATTTAAAAATAAATCTCAAAAATATCTATTTACAGTATTGTAATTGGGGCATGTGCAAACAACAGAAAGGAAAAAAGAGCCCATCCTGCTGTGGAAGGTCCACACGGCAACGCTTTGGAGGGAAGGTCACAAACACCGTGGGTGAACATGAGCTGCGCTTGGCAACAGGATGACGTGCAGCTAATACTGGACTCGGTGCAGACTTTCAAGCCCGGAGAGGCTGGGGGAAGTGGGGAGCAGGGAGTCCAGGTGGGGATGCTTGTCCTGGAAATGGGGCAGAAAAGGGATAAGCCATTGGAGAGGCCCCAGTGTGGCAGGAGGGCTCATTTCACAAGCCAACAGGCCTCTAGCTCGCCACTCCAGGTGGGCATCTGGAAGCGGCCTGAAGGACCCTTCCCGGTCCAAGTTGGCCTCACGGCGAGAGGAAGAGGGGCGAAGACAGTCCCAGAGATAGACATCCTCTTAAAAAAAAAAAACAACTGAATAAGGAGTGGAGGGATTAGCAAAAATGACTGTGAACGGAAGTGCCACCCTCTCCCTCGTCAAACAACAAAGCAGCCATCAGTTGAAACATCTTAGTCAATGGTAGCTAAGTGAACTCCCACGTGGTGCAGCCGGCTCCACGAACCCCCAGCACCTACATGGTCAAGTGCAGGCCCCTACTTCCAAGATCAATGCATTAATACTCCTCACCGTGAAACCAGAAAGGTCAGTGGTGTAGCCCTTGTAGCAGGAAGGTGCAAGGTCGAGTCTATCTGTACACGAGATGGGAGAACTGGGTGGACTTGTAGTTCAGCTGGTTGTTGGGCATGAACTTGTGCAGTTCACTCTTTTTGCAGCAGGGGTCGTAATGGTAGGCGCCGAGGCAGGCGTCGCAGGAGACTTTTGAACACTGGGTGCAGGTGTTGGTGGCGCCCGGGCGGTTACAGAAGCCACAGCGGGAGGTGGCCATGGCAGAGGGCTTGGACTTTGAATGGAGGTATGGCAGCCGGTCGAGGCCCTGAGTCTGGCCTGAGTACTTCTCCCGCAGAGATGCCCCGTGGGCCAGGCTGTCGTGGGCGGAGGCCTTGCTGGGGCCAACGCTGGGCTTGGAGGCGGGGGGACAGGCGAGCAGGCTGTCACAGCGCTGGCAGAGGGAGGAGCTGCACGACACACCACAGCTTTGGCACTTGGAGAGGGCGGACTCTTTGGCGGGGGGTGCGCGCTTGTGGTACGGGGGGTGGGCATCGTTTCTGACCAACCACACATCTGGCCGCAAGGCATCCTGCCTGCGGTATGTGGCCCTAGGTTCTGAGTCTGTATACAGGTCCACGTCATCCTGAGCGGAGAAGTATGTGCCGCGCAACAGGCCAAGGCCGTTGTTGGGGGAAGGAGTTGGCAGGTCATCCGGGCTGCCGTGCGGGGAGCTGGACATGGTCAGGAGTGAGGGGGACGGGCGGATGATCTCGTCCTTGAGGTCATCCCCCAAGTCTGCTGCCACAGGCTCCTTCCGCAGGCTCAATGAGGCCTTCAGGGGCGGCTTCCTGCTCTCCCAGTAGCTGTCATAGGTGTCCACTGATCTTGAGGACTTGGTCACACGGGGCTTGTAGTAGTCCTTGGCTGCCCGCTCGCTGGCCGACTTCTGGAGTGCCACCCGGGCCATCGAGGCTGTCAGGTGCTCCCTGCCCTCAGCCCGCCACCGCAGGGCGTCTGAGCAGCCACGCACGTCCTCAGCACTGGTCTTGCGCTCGCTTACAACGTCCAGTTCAGAGTAGCCCTTGTCCTTCACGAGTGAGTGGATCTCCAGCATCTGCTCACACTCCACCCTGGCCAGAAAGAGCTCGAAGGAGACCATCTTCACCTGGAGGGTCTCCACCAGCTCTCTGAGCTTGTACGCAGTCCCCAACTCAGGCATGTAGCCCATGTAATTCAGGATGGCTCGGATGTCCTCCTCTAGTAACGTCGACTTGACGTAATAAACGAAAGGGCCTGTGTAGGTCTAGGAGAAGGAAGGGAGAAGAGAGAGAGAGGCCGGGTTTTCTCTCTGAAACACACAACAGAGACTGTGCTGGAGCACGTGGGGAGAGAAGGAGAGCGAGTGATCTCCCAGCTCCGCACTACAGAAGGCAGAAGCTGATGTTTACTGAGAGCCTGGAGCACTAGTGTGAGGGAAATCACACATCCGCTCCTTTCTTCAGTGGAGAGAACGCGGGGCGCCAAGGCTCTGCTCCGTATGAGGAGGGAGCTGGGGCAAAAATGGGTGAATACGGGGGATTGGATTATAGCCCAAATGCCCAAAGAACAATGAGAATATTCCTTTCTAGTATTTCTACAAAGGTCTGAATAATGTCAGACTTAAGGGCCTGACTTGGTGGACACTCCTGCGCTATCACTGCCATCAGAATGAGACAGGATTCCGCCCCTCTCAAAGCCATCCTCTTCCTTCTTCCTCGACTGCTAGTCTAAGCCCCCATTTCCTCCTGGCTGTTGGACATCAGTGACAGCCTCCTCACTGACCCCCATACCCCTCCAGTCACGTCCCATCCAACAGCCAAAAGGACCCTTTTCAGATGTAAACCGGGTCCCATTACTGCCTTATTGAGATTCAATCCACACCCCTTGCTCTGGCCCACAGGGCCCTACACAACCTGGGTGCTGCCCACCTTTCTGACTTCACGGCTTAAAAAGTTGAGCAGCCAGGGGTGGGGATCCTGGTTGAGAGACAGGTAAGGCGGGGAGCCACGGGGGTCATTCTGGTTGTTTTCCCGGGGGAAGCGGGGAAGCCAGAGGGTCTGAGAGCACAGGAGGCATGTGCTTCTGGCACAAGCCCACTCACGGTGGACGGGAAGGGGCAAGGGGAGCAGGGAGGAAGGTGTGGAGGGCACTGCCCTAGGCCTTACCTTGATGCTTTTGAACTCTTTCTTCCACGGGTAGAGGAAAAGGTTGATGCCCATGGTCTCGAGCAGGCTAAAGGCGCAGTGCAAGGCCCGCAGGCTGGAGGAGCCCAGGGAGCGCAGGGAGCGCTCCACCACCTCGTAGAACTGGATCAGCCGGAATCGATAAAAGGGGTCGACCTTGTGCAGGCTGAGCAGGGTCGAGGCCGCCACCCGTAGGTACTCATCGCTGCCAGGCTGCTGCCTGCTGGTGGGGGCGTCCACTTTGCCCTCGTGGAACTGCACGTACTTCCGGAATAAGTCATCCTTATATTTTGTATCCATTGAACTGGGCTTCCCCATCCGGTCTGGGGAAGGGGCTACCTTATCTCTTCCATGGCTTCTGGGGTCGAGGCAGGGACATTGCTGAAAGCACTGACATACTGCCTGCCTGGACCAGCAGAGTGCTCTGGAAGGGCAGAAACAATAGGCCCGTCATCCCTCGAATTACTCACGGCTTCTGCCTGCTGAGGCACAGCAACTAGCAGGACTGGCCAGGCTCCACCAGCCCCGTCGGCCCCTTTCTGCCCATTCGTTCAACACATTCATCAAACATGTGCTATGTGTAATGACAGAGTGGAAACAAGTCAGGTCCTTGACTTTGTCGAGCTCACGAATGAAAACTGTGATTAATACCCCTGAAGAAAAAGTTTAGGGTATGTACTGTAGGGATACCTAAGCTGGTTTTGTGGGGAGAGGGGGGAATTTTAAAAGGCTTCCGGAAGCAGTGATTTTTAGTTAGACCCGAAGGATGGGGAGTTTGCCAGGAAAGGGTGTACCAGCAGGGAGCAAGGCCCCAAGCTAACACTTTCAGAGCACCTGCTATAAGCCAGGTACTATTCCAGGCGCTTCATGCATACTACCTTGTTTAGTTTTCTTAAACAACACTAGCAGAGAGGTACTAGTAGATCCCCATTATACAGATGTAAAAACTGAGACATGGAGATGTTAAGAAACTTGGCCAGGGTTACAGAACTATTCAGAGGCAGAGCTGAGACCAGAACCCAGGTGGTCTGGCTCCAAAGTCCAAGTGCTTAACCACCGCACCCTGCTTTCCTGAGGCAGGAGGGAGCTTGGGGAACAGAGGGCGGCTAGTGTGGCTTACGTAGAGCGAGCACAGACGGAGTGACAAAAGGTGACGCTACAGTCAAAAGCAGGACCCTGACCCATGAGGCCTCAAAGAGCATGTTTAGAATTTTATATTTTTATTCAAACAGCCACTGAATCAGCCAAGATGCCACTGAAGAGTTCAAAGCAAGGGGAGAGGGACACGATCATATTTACATTTTTAAAAAGAGACCTCCCCCCAGTAGTGCTTTTATCAGCCTTGAAGTACCTGCATCTGGCCTGCGTTCCCCTTTACTTTAAGACCATTTTACAGTACCCTGCTGTGAGGGGAACATGGAGTTTTCTGAGCCAGGACGCACCACATTTATGCCGTCTTGTTCTCTGTTCAACTCGTTGCCACTGAGTTGATTCTGACTCATAGTGACCCTATAGGAGAGAGTAGAACTGCCCCATAGGGTTTCCAAGGAGCAGCTGGTGGATTCAAACTGCTGACCTTTTGGTTAGCAGCTGAGCTCTTAACCACTGCGCCACCAGGGTGTCTGTTTAGCTACTTGTTAATAGGACATATATGGATCCAGCAATATTCTTGATGCCACAATGCTGGATTCATTGAGAGACAGCGCCAGGGCCAGGGGAGGCGACACAGCGTAGGGGTTACAAACGCAAGATTTGAAGCCAGACTGCCTGGGTGTGAACTCTGGCTCTGCTTCCCCAGGTTACTGAGGCACATTACTCAACCTTTCTGGGCCTCAGTTTTTGCATCTGAAAAAGGGGTTAAAAATAGGACCTATAGTCCAGAGTTGGTGTGCAGATCACAGGTGATCAGTACAGAAAGTGCCTCACAGAGCACTGGCTTGAAGCAAGCCCTTGAAACATGTTGTTTGAAGGGTGTTACACCCCAAAATGCCAAACACGCTCTAGAAGATTAGATGAGAGTGGGGGCAAATCTCTCCAATCAGGTGGTAGACTGGCATCTTCACACCTGTCCATCCTGCCTCTCCTGACCACAGCTCCATGGGGGCAGCTTGGGGACCGTCTTACTTGGTAGGGTAACCTCAGCACAGTGCCCAGGGCAGAGGAGGTGCTTCATAAATACCTGCTGGCCGTGGGAGACAGCAAGGAGCTGAGAAAAGATGCTGCAGTGGAATTGGGACTGACCTGGAGAAGCCTCTACCAATTCTGAGTTCAGCCTGGGATGTCCTAAAGGCCCACGATCCTGGCAGCTATTGTGAGGTCAGTAAAAGGATCCTCATCTCAGAGCCATGCGTGTGGCTTCGCCAAAGTTTCTGGGAGACTCCTGGAGGTCCTAACTATGGAGTGAGGAGTAGGATGTGCAGAACTAGGGACATGGAGACGCCACCTTCTCTGACCCTACCATCCTGCTGAGGGAGCCCAATACTTCAGTAACAAATATGCCTGAAGAGCACCTGAAGGAAAACATAAACCTACTTAGGATAAAGTTCTACCTCCTGACCAAGATCAAAGGCTCTACATGGCCAGACCCCTGCTCACTTCTCACAGCAGTCTCCCCTTCACCCTAAGCTCCACCCACATGGACCGGGTCTGTTCAACTCAAACACGTCAAGCTCATATCTAGCTCAGGACCTTTGCACGTGCTATTCCTCTGGCCTGAAATGTTCTTCCTCTGATTCTTCCCATAGCTGGCTCACACTCATCAGTCAGGCCTCAGTTCAAATGTCACCCCTCAGAGGCACCCCATCCCTGGCCACCCCAGCTAAAGTCACTCACACCTTCCCAGTCTCTTGTGATCCCATTATCCTGGGATAATCACAATCTTCAGTTATTCATTTACTAGCTTCCCACCTCTGTCTTCCCCCATTACCCTGTAAGCCCCACAAAGGCAAGGACCGTGTCTGTCTTGTTCACCAGAATGCCTAACGCAGAGCCTAGCGTGTAGCAGGTGCCTAATAAAACACGTGGAATGAATGATGCAGAGGATGTGAGTATCCATGGTGCCACCCTTCCGTTTCTCCCCAGGGGAGAGAAGGAACACAGGCTCCAAAGAAAGCAGGATGGGCCACAGGAAGCTCAGGGTTAGTCAGAGGTGGACCCAAGAGTTCAAGCCTGGCCTTCTGACTTGAAACCCACACTCCTGCCATCGCCCCATGATTCCTGTGTGCAGCATAAATGTGTGTAGCGCCTAGCTTGTGCCAGGCCCTGAGCTGGGGGCAGCAGGGAATGAGGAGGAAGGGGACAGCAGTCAAGAAGACAAGAGTCCTGTCCTCAATTCTAGTTAGAAAAGCTTATCCTCTAGTACCAAATTGTGTCTGTTCTCTTAAAAAATAAAAATGCACTGCAATCCAAGAGAAGACACTCATCGCTGTCCTTGCTAAATGAGGACCCATATGCATCTACCATTTTTTATTTATCTAAGAGAAGCCTCCATCCTGCCTCTGGCCCCGGGGACTGTTTTTTGAGAGCCATTTAAACAAAGGGACATCAAGCTTCCTAAACGCTGCTGTGATTTTTCCCCAAGGAAGTCAGCCTTGAGACCAAGGGGCTGGGTGTTTACAAAGTCAGCCACCCTCAAGTCAGCTCTTCAGCTCAGCCTCTGTCTCTGTGTGACTGCACCAGAGTCCACACCCTTGTTTGTTGCTGGCAAACAATAAACAAGGAAAAGGGATCCAAACAGCCCAGCTGGTGTTCCAAATCCTAAAATCAGGAGATGAAGGATGAGAAACTCATCTAAGAAAAATCTTGAACCAACCTAGGTAGGTGAGGAAAAAGGCAAAAAAAAAAAAAGAACGCTAAAAGATAACTAAGGAAGAGAAAGAGAGAAGGAAACTAACACAGAGGTCCTACTATGTGTTAAGTACTGGACTTTTCACTTGAAAAGCATCATCTCGTGTAACGCTCACACCTCCTGAGGAAACCAAGGCTCAGCCATTAAGCAACCTACCCAAGAGGACAGAGCATGAAAGGGCCAGAGCTGGGATTTGAACATGGGTTCAAATTTTCATTTGTTGTCTGGCTCTCTCATTTATTACCATAATTAGCAATTACAATTAGTTCCACTTATCAAGAGATTAGTATGTGAGGTCCCTCTGCTAACTGTCCTGTGAAAATCAACTTAATCCACACTACAGCCCTAAGATAAACAAGAGAGGCCCTGTCACTCGCCGTACCTCACAAGGCTAGGAAGAAGTGGAGCTGACTCTTCAGCTCTGCCTGCACTGCTTTAGCACAGAGGTCCTGCTGCATCTGCTGGATAGCTGTATTTGAAAGGGCTCTGCTACACTGGAATGCTCTGTGGCATGGCGAACATAGATAAGTGCTAAAAATTCCTATAGTATCAAAATTCACATCTTCCCACACGGACTGGGGCTGGAAGAGCCACAAATCTCTTTATGATGTAAGCTCAAGGGCCAAGGAAAGAGGCTGGCCAGAGACCGGCCAGTGGTGAAGCAGCTGACATCATCCCTGCTGAATACATTTTCTGAAAACACAGGCTGCCTGGTAGCTGGCCATAGCTGGTGGCTTTTCTGAGCATAGAGGCAGCAATTTATTCCCAGCACTCTGCAAGAACAACAAAAAACACACTCTCTGCAAAAACAGCGTGGTTATGGGAGCCCGAGACAGCCCAGCGACAGAAGCTGTTAATTTCTCCAAGCAACCCAAGGATTGGAACGCCAAGACCTGCCAGTCTGGCGGAAAAAAAAATGGCACTGTGAACATCCCTAATACGGCGTCAGGCGGGTGCCCAGAGCCCACGGCCCTGGTCGGCACCTCCTGTATCTACAATCTGATCCCCTTTGAACAGCAAGTCAATGAAAAGACTGAGATATTGCACAGTCAGGGAGAGAGTGGTTTCTATATTATTATTTTTAAAGATCTCAAAGGAAAGATGTGGTGTTTCAAGTTCCACTGAATCATATTAAATGATTCTGGGTAGCAAAGCATTAGCTTGCCTTTACCTCAGCTGGCCCATTCAAGCAGAAACAGTTCCCCAAGCAGCATTTGAAGCCCCCACCCCCTGCACAAGCAGAAGCTGTTTTGGTCCCAGCGTTGTCCCAGTCCACAGGTTTACACATCCCCGATCCAGCTTCAGCCTGCTCAGAGTTCCCTCTGCCTCCAAGCAGGACCAAGTGGAAAGCAGTGCAACCTTTTCCACCCCACTCCTGCGCACTCATTCCAAGCCAGGGACTCCCGAGACACATCCAGGGTACCTTCCACTGGCTGGAAGCACCACAGGATCCGCACACCCCAACTAGATTCCAGAGAAATTCAGAGACCTTCCAAACCTCCGAAAATAACCTCCGTGGTGCTGAAAGCGGGCTTCCCTAGCGGCAGCTGTCTCTCTCAGAGGGGCTCTGAAGGAAGCAGTTTCCTCTCCTTGGGGACAGAAGCTGATGGCTGCTTCCCAGTTTGGGTAATTCCTATGGACTCGAAGGGCCACATCAGTTATGAAAAACAACCCAGTTTCAATCTCGGGCCCTCTCACCGGCTTGTGAATAAAGTAACAGCAGCTATCATTTACTGGACGCCGACTGTATGCCAGAGACTGTGCTTCACATGTATTATCTCATTTCATCTCCACTATGGCCTTAGCAAGTAGGCTTACCTCCATTTGACATATGAAGCAACTAAGGATCCTAAGATGAAGTGACTTGTCCAAGGTCACACAGTCAGTACAAACCCAGGTCTGCCGCCAGAGCCTCCGCTAGCGACCACTATGCGGTCACTGCTCCACCGTGGAATCGGGGTGTCTCCTGCTTGGCTAGTCACCGAAGACGGAGTGCTCCTCCTGAGCTGCCTCGAGCCACCCTCGGCCGGTCCCAGGTGTCCGTGAGACAGCCCCCGGAGGAGTGAGACTACTGAGAACAAATTGAGGCTCCGGAGGCGCCGAAAGGACGGGCCTGCCCGTCACCCCCTCTGGCCGCTAGGACCCCGCTCCCTATCCCTGGCGCGCCGGGTGCCCCCTCCGCCCGGGAAAGCCCCGGAGGGAGTTTCCGCCTGCGGCCACCCGCACTCACCCCTGCCTCTGCCGCCGAGGCCGCCCCGGCCGAGGCGAAGAAGAGGGAGCCGCAGCCGCCGCCGGAGCCGGGCCCGGCTGGGCTCTCGCCGCTCCAGCCGGCTGCGGGGGAACCGAGACAAGCACCCGAGGGCCAGCGGTAACCCGGAAACACTCGCCCCGGAAGTGACGTTACTCGGAGGCGTGTCCGAGTGAGGCCGGACCGCGGCTGCGCGCTGGGCACGGGTAGAGGCCTGTTCCCGCGTCCGTCGGTGGTGAGGAGCGGACGGCAGAGGAAGAAGCTAGAGGAAAAGGAGCTAGCAGAGAAGACGTAGAATCCAGCTCTCGGGCCTAAAGTGTCACTGCCGTGGCTGGGGCTGGCACCCGGAAATAAACGGGCCAGAAGTGACGCACGCCGGTAGGCCACGGGATGGTGGCTGGTCGGGTTGTCATGGAAAC